TGCTTTGCTCTACCTACAGCTAATTGAACCTGTTGAATCTGGGTTTGGTTCAAATCGAGCTGAGCAGAACCACATGAAAGCCTCTGCATCTCCACGTGGAGAGGGCCTGTCTTACACAGAGGGAATGCAGGGAAAGGCGCTGATCACGCACCTCATATCAGCCATGACGCCAAGATATTCATGTCACTGGGGGGAGAAAGACAAGCCTTGGGAACAGCTCCTTCTGCACTACTAACAGGAGCAAATGACAGCCAGGTAACGCTGGGACACGTGGAGCCTGGCAAGTGACAAACCTAAACTGGTTCAGGGCCTAAACACGAGACCAGCACCTCTGAGCGAGTTCGCTGATGAAGCTCCTTTCCTTTCCACAGAAACACCACTTGCTCTCATACCAGCTGGCACACCTGCACAGCAAGAGTTAGAATTATTGATCAGCTCTCTGCCAAGCTAGAAAACCAACAAGGTTACACTCTCGTTGATCCTTGAGTTCAGCTTCCTACTGCCAGCCCTGGCCTGGGCCCAGGCCCCTACCCTGGCCCTTTGCTGGAGCAAGTCACCAGGCAGAGGCTCGCTGTTTTCATTAATGTATGCAAAGATGAGAAGTTCTGACAAGGGAAGTACCAAATTCAGCCTTTTCCTCCCCAGAAGACGGAAGCGATTGTGTAAGATCCCCCTCCCCTTCTAAACAGAGCGAGAATATTTAAGTATACTTAAGAATTTGGTCAACTTCCTCTTTTTCAGTATTTACACCAGTGGCCATCAGGATTACTGTTTACCTGTGCACATGGGGTTTGCTTTTAGAGGACAGCTGTTGTTCCCAAAAGAGGGAACAACCCAGTAGAAGAGCTGTGCAAGGATTAATCCCAGTTTCTAGGGGTGATGAGGAAGAAGAGGAGGGTGCTTGAAGGTTCTGTATGGTCTGTTGGCTGCCGGCTGGAGGTTCAGCAGATGGAGCAATGTGGTATCAGACAGGGCGTCAGACTGGAGTTCCAGCCCGGATCTTCCAGTGAGCACCTTCTCTGTGATGTGCAAATTGTTTCAACCAGTTTCTCTACAGGGTGGAGAAATAAATCTCTATTCTTTTCATTCTAGCACTATGAGATCATATTAATATTAAAAAGGGGCATGCCCATCTCTAGAATTATAGCTCAAGATACTTTTCTTTAATGATCTGATGCATAAATCAAAAAGATAATTATTATGGCAGCAAATAAAGCAGTTATGGAGCTGAATTACCAATTCCTACTACTGAGGTACTATGTCTCAGCTATACTAAAGGATCTAGCTTGCATAGAATGGGAGCAAATCAGTGAAATTCTCATTCAAAAAAGGTGCACTGTCAGCTCTTACAGGAACCAATTCTCAGCTCTGGAATAATTTAAACAGTGAAGGAGGTAGGACAGTGGAGATTACTTCCCTGGACAATTTCCAGGTTGAAGCTGAAATGCCCTGTGGCACTACACCATTTTCACAACACGTTTATGATTTCTCAGGATGGGCCATCAACAAACAAACAAACAGTCCTCTTCTAAAACTGTCACCTTATTGCCACTGTGGAAAGGACAAGGTCACGCACTACCAGGTTCCACTTTAATTATCAGGGGGAAAAAAGTGAACAAGATGGAAGAGCTGTCTTCAAAAATACCCGAATGAGTTAATGAAAGAATTTGCAGTATGAGTTCCTTAACCTGCTTGCATTACCTTGAAGAAATTGCTTATCCTCAGTGTTGCCTCAACTGTCAAAATAAGCATATTCATATCCCCCCCAGGTTCAGCTGCAGAACGCTTTGATATCCTTTTGATGAAAGGCTCCCTGTGCTGCTGTTCCTCCATCCCACAATCTTCTCCTTCACACAGGGTTTTGGGTGCTAGTTAATGCTTATTAGAGAAAAGCAGAAAGCAAAGAAGTGAGGAGTGCCTTTTATTAAAGCTAATTTCTGAGGCCAACCCACACTTCCCACTGTTGGCTAAAAGATTCTTGATACTATTAACTCAGTTTGCTCAAGCCTGCATTAGAGCATTTTAACACAGTATGAAACCTTTTGATACTTAGACAAGGAGATAATCCTAATAACATGCGATCTGGGGTAGTCTAATTGTACTTTACATCTTTCTTACTCCAATTGCAAACAAACCAACATTTCCTCCATCTTTTCCAGTCAAAAACCAATGGGATGATATAGAAATCTCAATGAAAACTGAGCTGATTGTGACACACAGAGAGTAGCAGCGAGAGGGAAGGAAGTTCACACTGACAAAATAAACGCCTTCAGAAGGCTACTTAACACCTCACTTGGTCAAAACCTTGGAAAAGCTTTGGTTCTTAAAATTCTCCTTTTTTGTTAGAAACAGGTGCCCTTGAAATTCTTCAAGCCAAGCGTAACACAGAAATGTGGCCACGCAACTGTCATAACACACTAACATACGCTCTAGATCCTGGTATGCAGAACTACAGCCTAACAGATAATATCAGAGCTAGCACAAAGCTTATTACTCAAAATAACTCTTGCCATGGTTAAAGCCTTCCTACTGATCAACACTGGGCAAGGGAGATTTTACAGCAGCTTCCTCTTTATAAATAAATATGTAAAAGGCCGGTCTACCTTTTGATGTGTGTTTAAACACAAAAGTTCACTAAACAAATATTTTTATCTACTTTGATGTAAAGAATAATGGACCCGGTAGTCTGCACACATTAGAAAGTGTTTGGCTAGGAAAGGACTATTTCACTATCAGCAAACAGCACAGACCAAATTAACCAGATGATTCATTAAAAAACAACCCCAAAAAACAACAAAAACAACCCCAAAGTTTGCTGGTTTGGAATAGACAGTTATTTCTCTTTAAGATAAACATGTATTTTTGAATGTGAGCATTGCATTGTGGGCTTCAGTCAGTCTCAGACCTACACATATTTCAGAGAAGTTCAAAGAAGCTCTAAAAAATGAAAAAAGCCAACAAAACAAACACAAAAGAAAAAAAAAATGAAACAAAGAAACCACTTGTTTCTGTGCTTCAACAGCAGTTTCAGAACAGAGCCTTAAAAATTTATTACTTTTAACAGAAAGGTATGCTAACACTGCCTAGAAGCAAATTGGTAAGAGGAAGCCCCAGGCAAGACTTGCAAGTTTTACTCTAGTTCAGTTTCCAGCTTCCCTTTTTTTTTATTTTTTCCCCCCTAAATCTGATTTAGGGAATTGAGTTTGTGGTTCAGGAGCGTGTCAGACCACACCTCTGCCAGTCATCTGGGTGCAGGTGGATTGCTGATAAAAGCAAAGACTAAGAAGACAACCTTGTGCTTAAAGTGCAGAGATAAGAGAGCCATAGGGTAACGATACAGCCTGGATGTCACAGCATCACGTAAAGCACCCAGAGGGTTTGCAAAAGGGAAACTTTTATAATAGTCCTGCTGCACAGACAAAAGAAACAATAGTTTTGTGTGGCAACACCATCTAAAAATCCAGAAACAACCATGAATTCAAAGCTGCTTCTCTGAATAACTGCATTTCTGAGAGGATCCAAGGGACAACTTTTTAAAGTAACTAAGCTCTAGATACACAGCTACAAAGAGCCTCAGAACCTACCAAGTCAGTAATTACAGTAAGAATGACACAACTATGGACTTTTGAGAAAGTGCACTTGTATCTGTTCTGACTCTCTAGGCTCTAACACCTTTAATCCATCTAGCCCTACATTTCTCAGTGTTGCACAATCCCCATTTTAGGAGGAGGATGTTCCCATGCTATTAGTGATGTGATGGAAAACAGCATTTTAAGTAACGTAACAAAATATCCTAAAGGAAAAATCAAGTGATTTTGGCTACAAAGACAATGGTTTATTTTACACAAGCCCCCTATAAACGTATGACATTCCTTTGTAAGGGTGCGTGCAGGTACGTTACTCAGTTCAAACTAAATCATAATTACAAGATTGAACTACATATATAACAACAGTATGCAATGATATGACAAACTATATGTGATTGCCCTCTGGTTTCTAACACTTGAGCGAAATGGACTAAGAGAGGACAGATGTAAGAAGGAGGGAAGCTTCTTAGCAGTAATAGTTTGAGGCGTACTTGCTCATGACCATCCACAATTTTCACAGATACAATCCATGTGTTCACCAGTGTGCAAAAGCAAGCAGGTCCTTTTCCTGACCAGAATGAAATAAAAAGAAGCAACTGATTTTATAAACTCAACATCTGCCTGACACTGCGTAACAGTATCATATAGCATAAGACCTAAACCTCTCCTGTAGCCATCTGTTACAACCAAGAACATCATCACAAAGATCCAAGGTAAAAGCAAAGTAGAAATAATGGAAATTTAAAACTGCAGTCTAAAATACCTGTTTGTACAATTTGTTATCATTTATTCATTGAAGTAAGAACCTAAATAAGCCACTCAGACAATCTAAGTAATATAAACTATCGAGTTATTCTATCTTCATTATTCTTATTTTCCTGATACTTAAATATCCTTATACCTCTTTTAAGTCCATCAAAATGTGCTTTTTACTCCCTTCCTGGCCCAGTATCTCGAGTCCATACAATAAACAACAGTGAACATACCTCAGGCTATTCTTCCTCCCAACCCAGCTCAGTTTTGCTGTTACTAGGAAAGACCTTTTTTCAGAGCCTGAGGATTGGTAAGCATTAGCAACCTTATTGCAAAGCACTATGAAAAACATCATGCAAACAGGCTGAAAGAAAAACGAGAAAATGTCTTCTAGCAGGCATGCAGAATCTTTTTCATTTATAGCAAAAGCAAAAATTATTTATAGCAGAAAGATGCTGTTCGATTGAGAGCGTCTTGCTGTCAACTGCCGAGTTGCTAACACTCCTCAGGACCTGTATTACACTACCAATGCTACTGCTTATGGATGGGAGTCATCTTCCTAACATAAATGAGGATATTCACAGTTTTAAGTACATGTCAGTAACATTTTTCAAAATTGCTTCATGTAAAATGTCTGTGGTCACACTGATTTTAAGATAATTATGAAAGAAATGCGCTTATAATTTTATTTTAAAATTTTAAAAAGATAAGCATGAATTAAAAGCTGCATTTCCTTAGCTCATTAGCACATAAGTTATAAAAGTGGTATGGAAAAGCAGTGTGCAATTAAAAATTATCTCTATCTTAAAATAACAAATTACTCGGGCATTGCTAATACCTGGAAAAAAGTGTGTTGTCCTTGCACACAAACAAGGCCTGATTTTGAAAAACGACTGCCCGAAGATGCGTATGCATGTTTATGTCTGAACTTCTCCCAGCAGCAATGTTTGCATGTCCAGGTGACTGTATAAAACCAATCTTCATTCTTCCAAAGACTGAATGCATCATCACTTGTATCTACAACATGAGTTAGAAATAAGTGTTTGTTATCAAAACTGCCCAAGCAGAAGCCACAGTGATTTTGAAACCCCACGGAAAAGGTGGGCTTTAAATTATCAACAATGTTAAATCCTGGTTAAAGATTTATTTGAAATAACCTCAATTTGCCTTACTGCTGTAAAGATCATGTGAATAAAGCATGAACTTCCTAACACAGAAAGGATTAATTATTACTAAAATAAACTATGTGTTCAGAAACATAACACTGGACAACTGCAGCTGCTAACAGATCACAAAAGTGGTTTTAACAGTTGCTGTCATCAGCTGATAGGACTTTTTAGTAGCACTAAAACACACATAGATCTAAAATTTTGCTTACTAAATATTATAAGATATTTTTCTTGCTATAAATACCACCCTGGTTTGTACATTATTAAACTCTAATTTTAAAAGACTTAACAGAATTATCTTCACTACAGTTTCAAATGCCTAAGATACTAAGATACTTCGCTAACAAAATTTTCTTAAAAAGTTTTCTCTAATTTTAACTTTGTATTTTTATTATCTTTCATTATTTTGAAGAGTTTCCTAATTTTTGCATATGCTTCTGAACACAAACGTGGCCATCCACCCATGCCACCAAGGTAATAATTCAGACTTGATTTTATGACTTCTTCAGCCTTCGCAGTTTTAACTTCCTGAGGCCATTTTCAACTTCTTTTTTTCTCTTTTGGATAAGCTTCTCTGAAGACACAGGCTGCAGTTCCAAATGAGATGATGGCATCACAGACAATTCTTCGGTGGTTGTCTTTGGCTCATTTTGGCTTGTCTGCACTATACTGTTCCTCACAGAAAGAGGCCGGGAGAGGTTTTTTCCCAAAGTTAGTGGCACCTCATCAGATGCTGTCTTTGTTATGTCTTGTTCAGAAAACAACCTGGAATTAAGTGGGGTCTTCTCCTCCAGTAACAGACCTAAACAATCACCATTGTGCTTACTCATTTCTGTATTGCTAGGAATTAAAGGAGTTCCTTCAGAGGATACTTTTTTGAAATGCTCTAACTTTTCTCCTGCACCACAGATCTTTTGTTGATCCTGTGTTTTGGTCACTCTTTGACTTTGTTTTGGACCTAGCAGTGCTGACTCAGAGCTACAAGGAGGGTTCTCCCTTAGAAGGCTCAACTTCAACCACTCCACAGAGTGAGGTTTTTGCTGGCTGCTAACATCATCTGGCTGTCTCTGATTAACATAATTTTCCAGCTCTAAGCCAGGAAGCTCCAAGCTGCTTTCAGCTGTATTTATGCAGTCCTTCAGCAGTCCTCTACTCCTACATTTCACTTCAGATGGAGGACTGAGAGAAGTTTGACAGTCGTTCTTTCTGTTCCCTGTCTCAGAGTCCACTGAGCCAAGATACACTTCCTTGGAGTCCTTCCTGATTTGAAGTTTGCTTGTGCTCCTTCTCCTTGTTTTTGTCCTTTTCACACTGCAATAAAAAGGAATTTTGGTTTGAAATTTAAAGAGAATCTTCACTGCCTAAACCTGCCCTTCTTGCAAACTCTGATACACCACTAGGGCAACCCTCCTTCTGAATGTGGAAAAAATCCCTGTAAATCATCTTGACAAGCAGAGTTTGTCTAGTGTGGATAATATCAAGTGTCATCCATCTCATTTTCCACTGCACTGGGGGAACCCTATTTATTAATGACTAAGCCATGGAGGAGTTCACATTCTATTCCAAGAGCCAGAACTGGATTCATTACAGATGTTAAAGGTCAACACAGCAGAAGTATGTTGAATTCCCTCCCAGACTGGCTAGATAAAATAGTGTTTCATAAGTGCCTAAATTATTTCAAACCATTCCCATATATTCACATGCATAATGTGTATCTAAAGAATAGATGGGGGCAGGCAGAGAGAGGCAGCGTGTGCATCTCTGTGTGAGAGTTTCTAATCTCTATTTTAGAATGTTCCTCTGGAATTTTTCCCAGGACATTTCAAAGCATCACTTTAAAGTTAACCACTACTCATCTAGTATCAAGCTCGTTCATCTGGGAAGGACTTGGGTAATGCAAGTAGATGATATTCTAAAAGGAATTATACAGGAAAATGGGATCACAAGGGAACTGATAGAGTGTCAGTACATAAACACTCCTCAGCAGCGTGTTTCCTACAAATCTAGATTTCACATAGGCTATAAGATGAACTTCATACCCAAGTACTGAAGCTGCCTATATAAGATTTTGAGTCTAAAAATATTACTATAGATTGTCCCATGCCGAGACCATTTTTTGCTGCTCTGCTGATGTTGAGCAGTTTCCAGCCCTTCAGAAAGAGGGATCTTCCCAAACAGGTAGAGCTGGCACACCTCCAAATCTAATCTCATTTCTGAAGACAACACAGATGAGAAAATGTGGGTAAACAGAAAAGTTGCCAGGTTTCACAGCAAATCCCTGATTCCATGTTGATTTGGGGCTACTGGCAGCTTGAATGGCATCCTGGTACAGCAGAGGACCAGTAAAATGTTCAAGTAGAGCAACTAACCCTCCCCATCCACTACACCAGGGACACTCTTTAACTGCCACCAAAGATCCAGATTAATCTCATGATACGCTGCAGGCTCTCAAAACGAACAACAAACATCTTTGCAAAGTGTTTTTCACCAGTTTCAAACATCACATGTTTATTCTGGCTCACATCTTCATTCAAGGAAAAAACACCCTGTTTTGATTCTGCCTAGCGCTATGCGAGATATCTATGTGGGCTGTAATAGCTTTTCTCATGTCGTACAAAACAACGATAATTTTATGTGCTTTTCCACACTAGAGTAGTAGTCTCTTAGCAATTTAAAATAATCTTTTGTAAAGGAGTTTATATTATTTGAAATTTTACTATGCAGGCTAGATTGTATTTACTCAAATTCTACCACATTATAAATTTAACACATTAGAAAGAATAGTGACATACATTTCTTTCAAGATGTCTTGCTTTATTTGTTCATTCCAACTAATCTTAGGCTTCTTGTTCTCAGCAGATTCAGTAAAATATTCAGACGTCCCATTGGAAAGTTCTTCTTTCTGCTCCAAAAGAAAATGCAGGTTTAAAACACGACACATCAAACTATGATTATTCAACATAAAACCATTTCTAATACTAAGACTTACAGATGTTCTTTATTATTTTGATCTGAGCAGTCTAAGAGAAACAGAATTATTTTTAATCCTTTAATATTTGGGAGTCTAGTCAGTTCCCTCCCCTTTCAGACTCCCAACAAACATATTTCAATGCTAAAATATACCGCAAACAAACAAGACTGTGATGTAAAAGATGTAGCTTTCCAAACCATCTGAGGAAACTGTTGGCAAATATTTGACATCTTTGTGGCTCAAACTGTGACAAATGCCAGGAATCTCTCTTGCAGACAGGAGCATGTTTGTCAGTTTTTTTTTCTGAAGAGACTGACTGGCGCAGTGGTCTATACACTTATTCTCAGAAGAACCCCCATAATCTTCCATACTTACAGAAAAATATACATGTTATTTGCTCATTTCAGAAGGCAAGGGTTAAAACTTTTAATACTAACATTCAAATGCTCACAGCTTGTAGTGGTTGGCTACTACAGGACAACAGGGGAATTCTTTCTGGTCTCAGCTAACAGCAGCACCATGGTTTTATATAATGTGAGACTGGGGCGAGAGGGAGGGAAGGAAAATGTTCTTTTTCTTCAAGCTGCGAGCGTTTCCTTTCACAACGAAACAAGCTCAGTGACAGAAGAGCCATTTGCTGACTTCACTATTAAGTACCCCATACTTCAAAAAAGTATTATCTCTGAGGCTATGGGGAGGAGAGAAAAACTTGTGACAAAGTCAAGAAGAGAATCAGCTTTGTGCATCTCCTTTTCTTTAATAGCATTTTTCTTCATCAGCCTGCATGATGCAACTTCTGACTGGGGCTCAGCAAATGTAGGGAGAGCTTGTTTATCCCCTTTCTTGCTCCACACTGTGAAGCCAGCCTGCTGGAGCCAGGCGCTACGAAAGAACTGAAGAAAGTAGAGCCAGACTGTGGAGGCGCAAGGCCAAAGCGTGTACATGACCGCTGCCTGGAACACCCCTCAGGAACCCGTCACTTACAGGGGATTAAGCCCTGCCCATTTTTTATTTTTATTTCTATTTTAAAAGGAGAGGGGGTAAACCTCACTGCTCTTTCCAGAAGAATAAGCCAGTGAAAACAACTTCCTGTTTTGTAAGCAGAAAGAGGGTAGTCAGGCAAAGAAAAAAGCCATTTCAACAGTTTAAAAAACTACAGCTGTTTTGAGCCTTCCTTTCAAGGGCAAATTATGCAAACATTTTTGTGTGTATTGATAGATGCATGAAGTTCTGTCCACTAATGCTGCAACATGTGTTTACAGCAGGCAAAGAACACGAGATGTACATGCAATGGGATTTCAACCTCAGAAATCAAGCCTAACTAGTTTAATCTGAGGGATTAATTGCTGCTTCTATTCTTGTTAGAGGTATGGAGTCCCCTAATTTGACTAAATACATTTTCATATTTTGTAAACTGTTAAAGAAAGGAATATTACTAAGACTCAAGAGTTTAATTTTAAGAAAAGGTACAGACTCTTAACTGCAAAGTCTGTAGAAACTATTCCAATTTTCAGTAACATTCATACAACTCAGACTGAAGGGTCTTGCACAATCGTTCCGCATCGAAGTAGCTGGGGAACACTCTGGCTTAGCCAGAGAACGGGACCATAAGCAGAAGGGTTTGAGCTGTCCTTGTTCTGCTTTACAGTAGCTGGTAAGGCTAATTCTATTAAACTGGCTTCGGTCCTCAGCTGAGGACATCAACACGGCAGCCCGACAGGATCGCCACTCCACTCGGGCAATTCCAAGCAACGGGTGGGAAGTGGCACTTTGCGCAAACTCCAGAGGAGGACTGGGGACAGTTCCTGTCCACATGTACTCGCAACTGCAGATAAACACTCAACCCCCGTTCTAACTTGCATCTGATTACAAACAGTGCGTGAGCATTGCCTGGAGAGTTCCGTTAGGCCGGGGTGCAAAGAGCAGACCCCAGAGAGAGTCAAAGATGACGAAGCCATGTCACTTGTGAGTTGAGCCAGACTGGAGTTAATGGTCCAGAGTTGAAGAGCTAACACATTCCCTCACTATGCCATCATCAACCTTCCATTTTGTTTTCAAATAACTTATCACACAAAGCAGTGACAGAAAAGGGTTAAGGCATTAAAAAAAATAAAAATCAAAAAGATTTATATGTGAAACACTTCTGAACATGCCCTCTAAGTACAGTAGATTTTCCCCTTGGAACCACACCCTGTAAGTGCTGTATTTTGAGAGCTGAACAATTAACATAAGGCATATGAGTCAGTCTTTGAAAGACTCTGTGGGAACCAGAGAGCCTTTTGCTATTAGGAGTGATGTAAACTCCCTAAGGCTGGAATAAGTCCACAATAGAAGGCAAAGAGAGTCATAAATAACAACAATGGACACCCCATATACTACTAAGACACTCAGCTATTATTGGTGATACTTCCTTTATTTTCTTTATTAGGCTTAATAATTTTAGTTAATTAAAAAAAATAAAAAACACTGTCTGTTTTGGGAATACTATTTATTTCCTATGGGAACTTCAGGACTTGTTAAAGAAAGAAAAAAAGCTAATCTGCTCTCATCCTGTCTAGTAATCCCAAATTCCTTTTAGGCAGTGAAATAATTAAAGAAAAATATTCCAGGCATAAAAAGGAGGACAGCAGAAGCAGACATCATATAAACAATGACACCATGACAGAGAAAAACGTCAAAGCACCGCCAGACTTGTGACTTGACTCTGAAAGAGCTGCAGGGAGTGGGATTGCTGCTAACAAATTAAAACCACATTTCTTGGCAAATTGTTAAAGACAGACATATTTACATTTGTATAGAGACTGGGTGGGCACAGAAGATTAAAATGCTTCTTTAGCCCTTGAACTGCCAAGTTCTATTAGAAATATGTGCTCTTAAAATCCTAGGGAAAGCTCACTCCTTTTTGTCACTGAAACTCGGCAAAGAAGGGCCTGCAGAAAGGAAGCTTACAAAGTCCTGCTACTCTACCTGCTCATAATATTGGCCTCTCAAAACCTGATTTTAAGATCCTTAGTACTTATCCAAAGAGATGTCTGGGAAAAAAACTCTCTAGAGAAACATGACAGTTAGGCACACAATATATTTGCTTTAGGGTTTATCAAATTGAAAATTCATGCTTTTACTAACTTACTCAATTTACTATCTCACTCCAAATGAAAAATAAACCCTCAGAAGTGTAAAAAGTGGTGAATGCCATCTGAAGTTCTCTCCAGGATGGCCGAGTTCAGCAATACAGCATTAAATACCTGCAAAAGAACAACTCATGGATGTGCACTCGTGAAGAATCCTTACAACCCATTATCCTGAAGAGCAAAAGGTTTGGCCTTTTCAGCCTGACAGTGATACTCATACAAATCTTGAATTTATTTTTCTTTCAGTCCAAGATTTGGGATGCTGGGCTGAAAGAAAAATTTCCAATGCTGCCCCTTTTCCCACCTCTTGTTTGGTTTCATACTTTCTAGTTGTCTCTTACTATGCTCAGGGTAACAGTTGCACATGCTCATCTACCAATTAAGTAATGCTCAGGGATAATTAAATTTTGTGTCAGCTTAACAAATAAAAACCCCAAACACAATAAAAAACACACATTGTTTCCGAGCTGCATTTATCAATGTGGCTCAACTTGCTCATCAAAAAATACTTAATAGAAAACATCAATGAGTCTAATAAATCAAATTTAGTATCAAAAGTGCTGTACGGGAGGGGACGCTGAATATAATAATGTAGATGAAGCAATGAAATAAAGTAGTATCCCAGGCACACACAAGTGAATAAAATTTTAATTAGTAAAAGGAATCAGACAGAAACAGTTAGTTAGGGGAGCTTTATGTGAGCTTGCAAGTGCACAATTTCTCTTAATGGCACTCTAAGGAGTATCACGAGCTCAAGCACCTAAGATAACCTTTACATCTCAGAACTCTTCTAACAGATGACTGACAGATCAGCGAGGTCATACAGGACTCCTTCCAATCTGATAAACAGAAAAGGGCTCTTAAAGTGAGTGAGGAGGCTTGTCAGTGAAGGATGAAACAGATACTACCATCTAATTGATAGAAAAATCAAAAGACAGGACTTTTGGTCTTCTGCCCTCTCTCATCCCACATGAAGGAAAAGCTTCCCACAATTTCACGATGCAAATTTTTCAGCATTTCCAATGTAGTGATGCATCTGTCCTAGCAATTCTACTTACGAACTCCTACCACATCATAAAACATTCACAGAAGTTTTCCAAGTACAGGAATGGATATTATTCTCAAACCAAAATACAGTTCCTTGACTGGACTTGCAGAATACAGCTCTACACCGTGAAATGGACTGTCCTGCTCTGTATGTCAGTAAGTTCCAGTAAAAACATTAAGGATCATTCCATGTTACACATGGGAGTACTGATATTTCATTTGAAATAGGTATTTCTAAGGAATGCTGATGGTTTTAAAAAATACATTCTTTTCAAGATCGAAATTGAAGAAACCACAAGAGAAAACTGCACCTCTCCAGTGAGGAGCAGAACTGTATACCCTACTTGTGGCCTAGCACAGAAAGCAAAATCTAACTCCTGGACCAGCACAGTGTTCATTATCTACTACCAAAATTCATTTTGATTTGACACCATGGATCTTAACTATTAAGTTTTTGCTTGTCAACAGTCTGTACTGTTCAGTCCATGAGATGGCCCAATTTGTTACAAGCCCCTGTGATACACATTCCACTTTCTCAAAATACAAGGTGCGATCTGTTTTTTTCACCTGATACGTAAATCCTGGCAATTTCAAATACTCCCAAGATCCCCAAAGCATCATCAGATTAGCTTACTGCATATAGCTTCTACATGAAAAATGCCTTCTTGCTTTTGAAATCTTTTGCTTGGACTTTAATCATATTTTACATATAGCAGGAATCCCAGCCTATTCTGAATGTAGGAAATTCAGAGC